TTCGTCTCGAAAATCATTTGACGAAGATAAACAAAACAAAAAACGTATTTACATTTCGTGTTCAAATTAGTTTGCTTTTATTTTTGCTAATGTTAAATTAGACTATTATTTATTCACAAAATAATTTTTCTAACACACAAAAAATCCATTTGCGACCATGAAATTGTCAGAAGAGATTGACATACTACCATTGTATCCCTGACGAGAATTTTAGAGCACGCGGCTAACATCGTCTAGATCTGTCTTCCACTGAATTTAATACAACGAACAAGCAATTAACAAAACATTTCCCCTAGTTGCATTGAAACACGCTATGTTAGAAAGTTTGAAATCTCTTCAAAAAATAGTAGCTCTAAATTAGAACAATTTTGATATCTACTATAGAAACCTGATCAGTTTTTTTTTTTAAGTTTCAATTGTTAATTTGGATACATACAGTGCTTACATCTGTTAACCACAAAGTTATCGCTTTAGTTTATAAAGAAGAAATTATTAACTAATCTTTCTGCATAATTTTTGGTAAATTTCGTAATTTTCAAACATAATGATATATGCAAATAATATAACAAAATGAATATGTTAATATTATGGTGTAGGAAACTACTGCTTTGAAGATTTTTTTCTTTTTTCCTAATTTTATACGGTGCACAGAATTTTGAACTCGTCCCTGGGCGTTTGAAGAAAGGCGAATCAAAGCCGAGAGGCCGAACCTGTTTTGAATCCATAATCCGAAAATGTCGTTATAAATACGACTTAAGCAGTGGACGGACTTGGCATTTATGATCAATATTTTAGAGGCCGAAGCTACTGGGAATTTTTAATTCGCCCCCTGGAGAGCGACCTCGGTCAGAATTCAACAAACAACCCTGTATCCGTAATTTGATCGAAAAATTCAATTTGTTAATTATTTTTGTCGAGTCGGGTCGGTTTTCGACTAATCGCTTCTTCCATCTCGTGAAGAATTAAAAGTCGAGGATTCTTGGGCCGTCATTATCGCGATGGCCGTCAAAGTCCGTAGCAATTATAATAAAAATTGTGTGGCTGATGTTGAGAAATGTGGATTCAAGGCCACCATCTTCAAAAATGTTGATTGCTTGTAATTACTTTTAATCGGCGATCAATTTATTCAATAATTGGGGAGATCTAAAAAATGATTACGTTTTTGAAGTCATAATTATGGGTCCGCCTCATGGGGCATGTAAATTTTAATTCGGGCCTTAGTAAGCGCGTCCGATTTTTTAAAAAGCTGTGCTTAAAATAATCAAAGAAAGGGTTAAAATTTCAGAGTAAGATTAGTTAACACTTCTGTAATATTAGACAGTCTAAAACTAAGTATTGTAGTAATTTATTAAAAACGTCTAGTCTAGTTTAAAAATATTTTTTAAAAGCAAAAAATAGTCTTGATGTTATAATGATATCATTCGTAAAAGCAAATAAATCGCAAACATAATTAACGAAATATAAGCAAAATCGTTTCGTTGAAAACTAAAATCAAAAAGTTGTCTCAACATATTAAATATATTTCTGTTATATTCTCTCACTGTGATAATGTTATTTTTAACGTGCACTTGTAACAAAGTTCTTCAATACTTGAATTTTTTACAGTTTTTTAATTTTATCACTGTACATTTCTGAAATTGAAAAGTTTCGAATGGTATAGATAAGACGATAAAAATGATCAAAGTTTTGTTTTACTCTTATGCAGGCGATATATATGGTAAGTAATAATTAACGTCAGGCGTTGTTCATAAACACTTTCTACTTTTGACAATTTATGAAGCGTACGTCACTACATGACGGTATCAGATTACTAAATGAAGTTTGTATATGGCGAATTTCAAAAGTGACATCTGTTCACTTAATTTTCAATATACTCGATAAGTAATTGTTAAAATAATGTAGTGATCTAAAGAAAAAAGTGGAATTGGTTGAAAGCTTTTTTATCTGTACTGCAATAATCCACCCATGTTTGTAACTAAACCTAGACGCTTTACTCTAAAAAACATTAGCTAAATTATATTTGTTTATTTTCTCCAAAAAGTTGATGACTTTTCCACAAAATGTTATTAAATAAATGCTTACTAAAAATATGCCATGAATTACTTACGCAAAATGCTAAAAAGGGGCATATTAAAAATGAAATGTACTTTCCTGACAGCCTGGTAACTTTACGTATGTACTTTACTATACTTTACGTATTTGTTATAAGGTACATATATCTCAGTATCTCAGAAAAAACATAAATCTATTAACACACTAGGTACTGACTGATTACCTGTAGTATTGTACTCCCAGTTTAAAGTGGTTTTTGTGAGAAAATAATTAACATTATCACCTCACCCCACGACAGACAATACATGAGTTGAATAACAAAGTACGGCGCTGCAAGAAACCGACCACTTTAAGGGATTTACTCCATTGTCCCCATCATCAACTTCGACACAATAGACCTATCCTAAAAACCACTTTAAACTGGGAAGACAATACTACATTATAAGTATGAAGATGAATTTACCCTACCGAAATAAATGTGTTGTTACAAAAAATAAATAAAGAAATAAATATTATCTAAAAATAAGATTTAACATGTAGACGACATTTATTATGCTTTAGAGGCGAGAAAAGTTTATGCAAGTAACTTTACAAATTTTTACGTAATGTTAATAGAACACCAGAAATTGTCAAAACAAAATGTACATTTGAAAAGTTCTTTGTTTACTAAATTTGAACGATTTTTACGAAGTTGAATTTACCAATAAGGATATACGACACAACGTTATTTTGTAAATTTCAAAAACGTTAAGACTTCATTTGTAACACTAATTACCTAACGCCTTTTTTGATTATGATTATATACAGGGTCGCTAAAAAGGAAGGAAGGAGTTGAGTATCGCAAGAATGGCTTGTTGACTCTGTTTGAAATTTGGGCTGTGCTTCTACTTTTTGCAATTTTTAAAAATTTTGTACTTCATTTGTTCTTGAGATGCAGATCTAACTTGATTTTTTTTAAATAGCACTAGTAGTCAAATATTCCGTTTTTAAATAGTACATTTTTTCCGAATTCAGAAATGTAACGCATATTACTTTATTTTTTCCCAACATGGAAAATAAATTGTCAGTATAAAAATACTCAAAATCAGAAAATCGTAGCTAGCCTTGACAATACTATGACCTGCCTGGTGTAGGACACTTTAATCAAAAATTATACTAGTGCCCAATCATTGTAAAAATTATAGAACTGGTACATTAACTGAAATAACGGTATCACCGTAACATATTGATTTAAATGCTGTTTGCAAATAATAATTTACAAAATATTCTAGAAATAAGAATACTCCGATTTCATGATGTAAATAAAGAATACATTGTTATAAGAGCTTTTTCAAAAATTTAAATCAAAAATTACATTATTGAAAAAATATCAAATTAACATTTAAAAAGCAATAATTTTACAGCAAACGTTCGAAATATTCTCTATTTACTTCCTGGCAATAGTAAATACATTGCACAAACTTTTCAAATGAATCTGTTAGAAAATTAGGAAGAATATCAGCAATAACATTTAATATTCTTTCTCGAAGTTCTTCGATGCTAATACATTAATTTTTTGGTAGTACTCCATCCAGTGTGGATTTGTATTGGACCAGTGTCTACAGTTATGGTAATTAACATGCCCATTCGAACAAAAAGTAGACTCATCATAAAATAATAATTGGTTTATGAAGTTGCCATCCTGATCTAGTCTATCTGCCATTATTTCGCAAAATTCGATTCTGCGGTCAAAGTCATCCTCACTCAATTCTTGTAGTAGATGAATTTAATATGGATATTTTTCCCGTTTGAGAATTTTTTGAACTGAGCCTCTACCCATACAATTGTTTCCGTGAAGTTTTTGGATTTTCATTTACATTTAACATGGTATTAAAAGATTTCTCGTTATTTGTAACATTTTTTGATTTTCGCTTCTAGTGTTTTGACGATTTCTAACATTACCAGTTTCGTTAACTATGTGCAATGTTTTTGAAACCGTCGACCTAGAGACTTGTTCTCGATTGGGATGAGTTTCATTAAAAAGTGCTGCTACTTCAGTATTGCTTGGACGTCTGGCACCATAGCCAACCATCATCAAGATTTCTGTTCGTTCAGTTTCTGTTAATTGTGTCATTTTAGTGTTTTATTAAAACACCATACGGTACTTACAATGTGAAGGTCCCAAAATTCAAAAAGCCGAAAATTTAAAATTTAAAAATTCAAGTTTCGTCTAAAAAAATTGATACCTTATTTACTTTTTTCATATTGTACGATTAAGTTACTAATAATGCTTTCGACAACAATTCGTGCAGCAGGCATCCAACTCCAATTGTACATCATGTCGTAGCCACAATTTTCGTTTCAACAGATGCGCTGATATTTTCCCTTTAAAGATAATTATCTAAACAAGCAGTAATAAATGTCGCGCTAACATTATTGCCAGTGTTCCACTGGTACCAAACAAAGCAATAGTTGCACGCAATATTTACTAATGTTTTATTTTAAAATTCTGTTGATAAGTATTCTAAAAATACCACCAGGAGCTTTTCAATAATAGCACAATATTTGGCGTGAAGTATTCGAAATTTTTCTTACGCACATTTTCGTCTCTTTCCAGTTAGCACAGAATAAAGGAACATTTTTAAAAGTAACCCGTCTTGTACACTTTCTCTATTTTATCACTATGAAGTGCCTAATCTAACGCTATTTCCTCTTCATTAAAACAAGTACATGCAGCCGCGATAATACACCAACTGTGTCTGTTAAGTTCCGTTTGTATCAAGACCACCTGCCACATGTGAATTAAGAAAAAAATGAGATCACAGCAATAAAATTAATTTTATTCGGCATGTTTATGGGAGTGTCTCCTACTCGGCGATAGCCTTAACAGCGCGTACAGATATTGAAATTTAATTGGGCCACAACTTTTCAACGCTTAAATGTCAGATCACTGATTTATCATAACTCACCTATGGTCCCTTAGATGATCCTGTCTCCTGAAGGCTTTACCACAGATATCACACGAGTACGGTCTTTCATCGGTGTGCGTGCGTTCGTGAATCAGTAAATTATAACTTTTCGTAAATTGTCTATTACAGAATTTACAAATGAACTGTTTCTTCGGCCGTGAAGCCCTACCGGGAGCCCTTAACAGCCTCCGGTCCAAGTGTGCGTGCATCTGCGGAGGACCAGGCTGGAAAAGCCCACTGTTGCTGGGGAAAGGAAAGGAGGCAGTTCCGGGATTGTTGGGCAGGAAACCGGGGTAACCGGGATGGCTTTGAGAGGAAGATGATCCTTCCAGAAGCCCAGGAGGAGGTCCTGGACGGTGAGGTAGCATCAAGGCGGCTGCATGTGCAGCCGCTTCCCTCTGCATTTGCAGTTCCTTTTTTTTGTCGTTCATCATGACCATGAGCTCGAAGCTGGTGGACTTCCGCAAGTAGAGAGACGAAGAGCCGTCGCTGCTTTTACTGGTTTCGGTTCTTTCGTCTAGGAGCAGAGGGTGCATTTCACTGGGGTAGAGCATCGGGTGCATGTTTCGGGAAGGGACTACAGGTACGAAAGCGGAAGATTCGCGGTGGTGGCTCATGGTGGCTGGTAAAGGTAGCTGATGGTGGTAGGCTAACTGAGGGTCATAACTGGAGGCACGACTCCCTGAAGAGCTTCGGCCCGTGGAAGGAACGGGGAATTCTCGACGGGATAGGGCCAGAGGGCGGTCTTCGGCTTGGGTGGTGGCTGCTGCTTCGGCCATTGCGCCTAGAACAAAATTAAAATTGTTATTTTTGAATATCGCTACAAGTTTAAAAAAGGCTAAGGATAGTGCATGTAATGACTAATGAGCAAATAAAAAGTCTGTATGCGATGCATGAAAATGTTTTGTCACGACAGAACGACAGTTTTAAACAACAAAAATGTTTTTTTATGTTTTCTCATGCTTCATGGGTACGAAAAAATAGATCTCCCGTTTCTGTATATCTGTCTGTCGTCTGTCATCTGCCTGTGTCGATTTTCATTAGACAGATAATCTACGACACTATCAATTGTTGTCAAATTTTATATGTGATTTAAAAATATCGTACTGATCGTAAAACGCTATCCAAAATTTGTCTCATCATCCTCACCAATAATTTGAAGACGTCCCCTCATCAATTTGCGTAGCAAAGGTTATCTAAATTTTATAAAATAATACTGTAATACTCCTGTACTCGTGGTTTATGAATCCGCCTTCACTTTAATCGCAATCGTTTTGCATGTTTTTTTTTGTACAATATTTTCCACGTTTTTCGTCTATCCTTTTGCTCATGCATCAAATACCTTGTGGTTGAGTTGGCTAGGTGACGAATTCTTGAACTTGTGCTCTTATCTATACATATATTTTTTACTTATAGAAGTTATCATAAAATATGTATACACATTTTGCAAAATCCAATTTGTAATTTTTCGAAAAAACTGGACTTACTTATTCGATTGTATTTATTTAAGGAGCATGATAAGTTCTGTCTAAAGGACCTTAGACCCATTTTTTTAGAAATGTAAACGATCATAGACTCCATCATCTAACTCCACCAAATTATTTATAATGCTTTTCTTTTTTGTGGGTTTTTGTACAAATATATTGTGCAAAAACGTACAAACAGGTCAAATACTCGTTAGTATGACTGACCATTAACAAGTGTGAAGTCAAGATTTTTGTGTCACAAATTAGAATCCTTAAAAAGATACTAAATAAATCAGTAAGTTTTGTTATGTTTTAGATATTTATTACTAGTTACATTTAAGGCTGTTCAAATTCTTCCTCAGCTCTACGAGTAATGTTGAGTTAAAATAAATATCAACAATCATAATAAGAATTAGAATTGAATACATACGATTTACAGTTTAAAAACGTGCCTGTATTTATATCAATATACATGATCATACATACTAATTAAATAAATTGACTTATCTAATTTTCTTAAATTCTGCTAATGTAATATGTTGTTTTAGTGTTATACTATATGTACATTATTTTTTGAAAATTATTCATCTACATTGTTTCAAATGCATTAATGTAGGTAGACATGAACAGATTTGTTTTCTAGATTATTATCTCAGAAGCAACTCAAAAAATTGATGGCGTTATCTCAAAATAAAATCTGTTGGACAATAGATCCTGATATGTATATGCAGTACTGGTTGTTATTTAGAAGCTATTTAAATAAATTTGCAGATTTTTATATACAGGTCATGCAAACTTTTAAATCGGTGAATCAGGTTGAATGAATGAGTATCTAAGGAGGAAGTTTATCCCATTTTGACAAGCACAGGTACTTACTAAGATTTTGAAAAAGTAAAGTATACTAAACTCACTTGACATACACCTAGTAAAACTTTTATGGCACAAGCGGCGTAAGCCAAACCACCCTTATAAGTCAAACTGACTATTGTATAACTTAACTCAGTTGACATATACGTAGTAAAACTTTGCAACTCCATTATGACAACAATGGAGTACTGTCCATTCTGTCCATTGTTGTCTATTATGATTATTACTATAATCCTTGCGGTTCGGATCCACAAAGCTTACAATAGCCCGTTTGACTTCTAAGGGTGGTTTGGCTTAAGCCGCTTAAGTCATAAAAGTTTTACTAGATGTATCTGAAGTGAGTTTAGTATATACACTTGGATGATTGTAACATTTTGTACTATTTTGAATTTCGCTATTTTCCGATTATTCTTGACGGAAATGTAAGTTAATCAGATACTGCTTGACCTATTTCAATTAAAATAATGTATCGTACGAGTAGATTTCTAGTCTTAAAAAAAAACTCTTTTTGGCAATAAAAAATTAAAAACTAATGCGATATTCACATATTCGACAACAAAAATCAATAAGTTTTAACAAAATTTTTCAAAAAACATTTCTAAAAAGGCAGTTCGCCGCCTCTTTAATATACGGTTGAATTTCTTCAACATGTTTTAGTTTTACGTTCGTATTTCATTACGCATTAATGATACATATTGTTATTTTTTGCATGGCATTGATTTAGTCTGTTAAAGTCTATTGTGCTTACCTGATAGTGGATGTTTTTTTAAATTTCTGCTCTAGTTACCCATGTCGCTTACGCTATGCAATAACTTCTGAATTTGCCTGCAGTAGTTTTCAAGGTTTGTTAAAATTTCTACACGTTTTCATTTTGGATTTAATTACTAGTCTATAAAGCAGCTATCATTGTGTTTTGAATGAACGACATCTAACTCTTCTAATTTAATTTTTAATCAATTTCATGTTTTAAATGATTTCGTACTAAACGACACAAGTTTTCCCAAATTTGTAAAATTTTATTTATCTTACTACCTACTTACTTCCTGTTACATTGGTAATGTAACGAAGATAGACATTTTTCCGGTATTTATGTGCAGGATTATTGATAACAGACATTTTTGACATTTCAAACTAATTAATTTTTAATAGGAAAAGTTATACTGAACTGAAACATTTTTTCATTAAAATACATAATATAAACAAATGAATAGTTACGCATAATTATAAATCAACAGCACGTAGTAATGTTGTCGAATTAACTACCAAATTGTTCTATACAGAGTGGTGATAAAATAATGCACCACAAGATCGTAAAAGAAAAAACGTATAGAATACAAGTTTTAGTTTCTACTGATTCCATTACCTATGTCGGTTTTTGAAATAGTAAAAAATAAAACACTCTAAGTACATATAATTATGTTTTAGAAGAAACCTTTGGAGTCTGTACAATATCTGTACGTATGCAAATTTTATTTCGTTTAGGTTGTTGTTCAATACACTACATATTGTGTTTAAGTTTGGTATAACTCTTCAAAATATGTCACGTATTCTTGTAATATGATGATTAAGTATAAATACGAAGACAGTAAAATTTGAAGGTTTCCATTTCGAAGACATGAGCAAACTTTAAATTAAACTTGTACTTATGGGAAAACTGATTAATCTGTCCATCCTAACCACCAAGTTACATTGGTTCTTTATAGTCTACCATTGTATGAAAATGTGGTGTGGTTTTTACGCAAACAGGGTGAGTAAGTTGTTATGGAGTGACACATTAGTGTATATTTTCCGTATTGTATTTTCGAAAGCCACACTAACTTATTAGGTAAAAGTTGCTGAAGGCAAATCGTTTTGTAGAGTTCTTGTATTGGAATAATTTAAATAGTGTGGATGTCCTGCCACTACAGACACTGGTGCAGGTATCCATATACCAAGGTTGGTTAGAACATGACTATATTTGCTCAGTCGGACCTATTTACTTTACTATTATACCGCACTGTTGACTTTTACGTTCTAAGAAGTTGTAGAAATTTTTTTGGCTTATTTGTCTTCGACATATCTTCGATTTAGCTGGGAAAAGGGGAATGCCGATCGATGCATGTTTTGATCAACGCAAGTATGTCTTCCATAATTGTAAATGCATGAAGAAACCAATTAAGTCATCGGTTTACTTTATCTTACCGAGAATGATTAACATATAGATTTAATTTATTGCCATGGAACCTTAATTATACCTCCCAGCTCGCTGGATAATTAGTTTAAGAAAAAATCCAATTAAGCTACATTCACACGATTAACTCTACATTGCAACCCCTGGTAAGTCGTGCTTAACCATATCTCTGCACGTTCTTTACGCTTGTTCAACCTCAATCAGGGCGACGCCTAGAATTCAGCAGGAGTTTTATAGAGAGATTGTCTATAACGCTTTTGTCACGATTTCCTAACCGACAACTTCGCAGAATTCAGATTACTTGTTTATTAATATTAATTAAGTCTTGCGAATGATGGAGCATTATTTATCAGGAAATTTGTGGTTACAACAAAAGAAATGTAAAAATAGATTCCGACACCACCGAGTTCGTGATATGATTAAAGATACGTTTATTTGACACGGCTTCTTGGTGTACGATTTCTGAGAACTTTAAGCAACTTCCCCATGAGAAAATTTCAAAAGTAATTATTGCGTGCCACATACCAAAGATTCAGGAGCTCTTGCGTGTCACGGGTAAGAGACTCGGTGAACTTTTCATTCCACTTACAACTTGTACGTTCACATACATCGACAAAAATTACTAAAAATGAAACGTGCACCTTGCACAGTAACACGACTGATAAAAGAAAGAAGTACTAAAAACCCCATTTACCCACCAGAAATAACCGCAGTTCTAATCAAAAGATCCGTCACGCGTCACTGTTTGTGGTGGATTTATCGCTTTTCTAAATTTTCTACTGACTACTGTTGTGAAGTAAAAATACGGATTATTTCATAGTTTCCTGGATTTGACCAAAGTTAAACTCTTAATCTTAGAGGTTGAGATAAAAATGTAAATTAAGGTTTTGCTACTGCTGTTTGTACTCATAATTTTATAAAATATTAATACAAAGGTAAACAGGGTTATGATAAAGTAACTCGGCAATAAAATCTTCATGCGTAAAGATAAAGACAAAACCTAAAAGCAGCTCTATAGGGAATATTGAAAGCTGCATTTTCCTATTTCTATCCATTAATTTTCCATTTTTAATTTTAGAGCTTACAGTCGAACCTCTACCGATATATTGTTGATATTTTCGTAAATATTAAACCACAAGTTTTACACTTACGAAAACAAATAATACAATTTCGACAAAATATTTTATAACGTCATATCGTCTGACACAACTACCATATATGTAGTCTAATCAATGAAAGACGAAGCCGCAGATATCTTATTTTGCCATTTTAGGTTTTTGTTATTAACTTTTCATACAAAAATTTTATTGTGGTTGGGTGTTACATATTTATAATTACATTGTGTTCGTAAAGTTCTAGTACGTACAATCAGGTGGGATTCACACCCAAAGTTTGTTTTATCAGTTCGTGTTAAAAAGAAGTTTTTCGTCAGAAACATTCCGGGTTTCTGTTAAATATGATAGTTAAAACCCACCATAATACGTGCGATGAAGCATAACTCTATTTTAATTTTTTTATCTTTGTGTATTCGTCATGATAATGCAGTTTTAATCGTTTGTTATTATAATAACACTTATAACTTCACATTGCTCTATTGCGTATTTGATATCTACTTTATACATTTGAGTATATAGCAATGGCGTAAAAATATATCGGGTGTTCAATTAAAAAAGTCATCAAGTTGGCGTTGCTTTTTTGTTAGAAGAAAAGGTAGAGTGTTTTATTAATTCATACTGCTCTATATAATTGACATTTCCGTGTTGTCAGTTGTCATCGATTAAATTTGAGGTTAATTGTCGACATACGTCACAATTTTTACAAAAAATCAAAGCTAACTTGATGATTTATTGAACACCCGTTATTTTATAATTCAACAAAACTCTCCTCCAGTGTCAAAAGAAAAGCGTATCAGGAAAATAATAAGCAATATTGAACTACTTCAAAGACTTTTTCAATTAGTTAACCGAAAAAAAATTAACGACTTGCATATTTCTGGGTTAAATTTTTGGATTCCATTTTATTAATTTGAAACGACTATACTGTCTTCTCATTTTAAGAATATCAATAAGTTCTTGAACAAATGGTACCGGTGTTACATATATCACCTTCAAACAGAACAAACTAGTTTCTGAAAGTTCCCTAGATACACTTTTGTAGTTAAAAAGCTAATGAGGTAACAAATGAATGAAATAAAATTAGTTTAACTGTTTTGAGCGTTGTTAGAAAAATTCCATTATTGTTTCGATTATCGACAAAGTTTCGACTCCCAAGTACAACAATTTTATGTCGTTAAAAAAATAGATGCACGAATCACAGTGTAACGTGTAACATTAGCTATGCAACGTCTACGCAAATAAAAGGACGTTTTAATCAGAATAACAGGATATTTTTATTAAAAAGAAAATTTAAATTCAAAACAACCTTGAAACAATAACTGCCCAATTTATTAGGTGTGTAACTGTCATTGTTTATGCTAAAAAAGTTTCTTTAATTAACACAGCCGTAGTGTGAAATTCTAAAATCTGCATGCGTGGGCTTCAGATAAACACACCGACTAAGGCAAAGCTCTTACAAAATTGTAAATTCCGAAAGAAATGATATGGTAATTTATTATCACGGAGTGTAACAGGTTGACAAAATCTGCAGTGACCTTTCCAAAATCTGCATTTCACAAATTACCAAACCAGTAGCCAAAATTACCATTTAATTGCGAGAGCAAACCATTTACATGAGTGCAATTTAATAAAATTATGACTTCCTGATCCTTAAAAGGATTTTATTGCTCTCATCAAAGCGCCACTTGAGCAATCTGAACTCAATGATCATTCATTTTATTTCGATGATTTCATCACCTATTCAAAAACCAGATTTGCTTTTGAAGAAATTCTTTAGAGATGGTTATGAAATTGTTCCAAATAAAAGGCGAAGCGATAAACTAAAGATGTTATTAACATAACAGATGTGAGAGCACAATAAAAAATTGACAAGTTCGATAGTCAAACCTAGCTATTTTAAACAATAGCGTGACCTTATTTGTAAGCTTCAAAATTTATGCGGATAATAGCTCGGACGATAATAACGAGCGTAAAATTTTCTAAGAAAAGTGAAATCTGATTTGTAGCTGACAGCACGTGTCACATAAAGATCACTGGAGATTTAAATATAAATCATTTTTTATCGAGAATGAGAAAAATTCTTTACATTTCTGGCGCTAGAAGCGTCCATTACAAGAAATTTTAAGTTTCACCGAGGAAACTTTGTTTATGAGAGTCATAATGTAGTTGAAATAACTATGCAGATTAAAGCAAGTTATGTAAATTTAATTTAATTAATTCTTCTTTTGAATAAACTAATGATCTTTTTCAGAAATGTCGCCTTGCTTGATTGGCTAACCTGCTCTCGGAATTTATTTCCAGAGCAAGTGTAGCAACTTTGAGAGCAACTTTGCTTATGTAGCTGTACGACATAGAGTTATAGTCTTAATTATAGTTATTTAAATGCACGCGTATGTTAAAGAACCGCTTGACTTTATTGTCTCTGTTTTCAAACATCTAAATGATTGATTTTAAATTTTTTATGTATTGCCATATTATAAATATCTAAATCTTTTTTGTATGTTTGAGAATTTGTGATAGCTACCTACCTAAATGAACTGACCAAAAATAAAATAAATAATTTTAATTACTGAAATACAATTCCATAAACCTAATCGAAAACACAGTGAATTTAGAACTCAAGTATAACTAAATACACACACGTTAAATGGATGTTTGTAGACATCTGGTTCTTTAGTTTTAAGATCAACACCATTTAACGATAGTTTTTACATATTCTGACACATATTTCACATGCAATAAAATTAACGACAGGTGTATTAAAAATACATGGATCTTTCAATTGATTGTTGTAGAACTATATATATATATACCTATCTAACAATACGACGCAATAGATTGTCATAATTTTAAAACAATCGGCAATTTCTTCTTGAAACGGCAAGTATTTCATCATAGTATTCGCTGCAAAATTTATTGAGATTACATTCCAGAAATTTAGCCAAATAATTTTTTAAACGCCCGTGGATACAACCTTCCAACTATGGTTGTATACCTATATATAATTTTTCGCCCAACTACATAGTTCGTTTAGATGTGAATACAGTTGTGAAAAAAGCTGGAAAATGTTATCCATATTTTCTCAAAAATTGTATTCTGTATTATGTAACCCATTTTAACCCAGTTTAACTGTAAGTATGTTGCTGCCTTCTTGGATAAGAGATCATTACCTACACGATTCGATACAATTGTATCAGCTCCTTATTAGCAGATCTGCATAAAAAATACTCTGTAGGACTATTGCATCAGTTATTCAATTAGTATTCAAGTAGTATAATATCATATATGAGGAAACTTAACGTGTATTTTCTTCTTTCAAAATCAGATCGCTTAGTTCTTCCAGACAATAATCCTCAGATATTTCTGCCATACCTTCTGAGTGGTGCAATAATTTTGATAATGAGTGTATAAATGTTAAGTCATTGAAAATGGAAAGTTAAATTATTTCTTTCGACCAAGTGAATGTTTTATAAAAGCAAACAATGTTTTTTTATCATTAAAGTCAATATCTGCTTGAGTGTCTGCGTTAAAATATTACCTAAAAATAATACAGACAACAAAATATGCTTAGAAATCACAATTTTGTTTCCTTGTCGGTTGAAAAATAAATTCACTTACAAGTTTAATATGCTAATACCATTAAAGAATTTATTAAATTCTTATTACTAGAGACTTAAAATACCGTGAATTAGACCCAAAGTATATTTAATAGGGCATTTTCAACTTTAATTCAGTAGATATATATTTGGAAGTTGATATAGCATGATGACGATGAAGAGTCCAAATCTAGTCATACATACCGTCTTAACATCACGTCAACTGCACAGAGATTTTCAGCTGAAAACCAAATATTATTCTAAATTTTAATAAAACACTACTGCTACTTCCTTAGAAAAAAAAAAACATTCGGACTGCATGCGTCATCGTTTTAAACACCTTTCTCTACAAGATTTGTGTTTTCCTTTGTTGTATTTCAAAATATAGTCATTATTCAGGAACACAGTAAATTTCTAATATCTATGTTGAAAGGTGAACACCCTAACGCTTATTGCCCGATACTTTTTCTGCATTTCAGTTCGAACGTGAACGCCGCGGGCACCCAAAATTTAGATCACTTTGCTCAAAATGAAAGCAACAGCACACCAACGAAAATAACATTCCAGTACACATTTTGATACAGTAGAACTCCTCGAACTCTTCCAACTCGGAACCGAGCTGATATGATTCGACAGCGTTGCCAAATGGGCTACTGCTCGGCGTAAATGCGGCTGCGTTATGATAATGTCAATCAGTTAGGCAAATACGTAACATAGAAACAAACGCCCAGTCGCAAAGAGTAGCAGTAAAATATGTAAATCAAATTTATTCCAGTGTATACCAAGTGACACATGACATATTGTCTACTACCATTATAAGCATGCACAGCCACTTTCCCAACGTGAGCATGACCCCGCAAAAACGCTCAATTAATTCAAACACGTAACCGCAGCCAAACAAAAAAGCGCCATTTATAGTACAAAATAAGGAGCGCGGGCACACAAGATGGCCGCTCCGAGCGCCCGCATCGTGCGGCGACGCACGTGGCAACAACGCGCGATAGCCTACTTACCGTGGACAAGATAAGGGGCAAATATTAAATTTTCTTCTAAGCCACTAGTTTTATGGTTTTTAAACAAGTGTTAGCGCGGATTAAAGCCTGGTCTACTACAAATAAGATTAACCTGCGCGCTAGCCGGCGCTAAGCAATGAATGGGTAATGCACTTTTTTGTTTTGCGTCCATTCAAGGCACGACTTATTGTTTAACGTAGAAAGCTTTTGCCGTTTTACGAGTAGAAAGTGCCGCAAACTAGTAAGGTTAGAGTTGGTCCGTGCCGAGTATAGATGGAGTATTATGGTGAAGAACGTGAGTTATGCATGTTTATCTGGCCATATCTCTTATTTCAAAACATTTCCGCGCAATGTTGAGATAATGGGTTACAACATGCCCCTAAGAGTAAACAAAAAAAAAAAAAAAACGTGAACTGGAGGACCAATTCTTACCTAGTCGTATCCACTGTTGTCCATAATAAATCACATTATAGTACACTTATTGTCAAGAACGAAACCACTTGAACCACCGAACAATTGTCACATTTTCCGCAAATCCACAGGTGCCAAGGGGTGACAAAGGTCCGACAAAGGCACAAAGGGCTCTATAAAGCGATAAACGGAACGGGAGCAGGTAGAGAGAAGTCGCGTCACTCGGACCAACTCTGATCTCGACTAAGGTATGCTTGGCTTTGGCTCAGGTGAACCTGCTGGTCTGGAAGGGGGCTCCGTGTAGAAGTTACGGTAGTAGAAGGCCTCGCCACTACGGCAGCGGTGGCGCATTCAACTGTTCTATGTTCGGCCGCCGTGTGGGCCCCCCTTTCTCCCCCTGTTACGGGCCTGTAGGCGTTTGGCGGCGTGTATTAATGGGAATTCGACGGACGCGCGGTTCTTCCCGGATTTATTAGGCGGGCTGACGCCCCTTTTCTATCCTATTATGCAGCCTCGAAATATGAGGATCAAGTTTCGAATTTAATTCGTTCAAAATTGATGTAGTGTTATCTCTTTCTTTATTGTAACGAAAATAATGTGCACATCGTTGCAGGCTGAAAGTGTGCATTTCTGAAATAAAATTCTACTACAATAAAATTTTATAAAATGCGTAAAATATGCACTTCTCAGTGTGTGGCAAGAGACTGGTTTGCTTCATTTATTACGCTGCCACCCGTAGCTGTAAGGAATCACTTTTAAATTACGTACACTTATTAAACAGTGAAAATACGTTTTAAAATGTAAAACAAATCACTCACCATGTTACCTTCAGTTCTTTGGTGGCTTCGAATTCTGAAGTATAAAAAAATATTTTAAATCTCTGGATGTCGCAAATATATAAGTTCACCGAAACTAGGGATTCACCTTTTTTAAAATTATTATTTTTAACATAGTTTCAATATACGAGGTGTTTAATTTTTCATTCTGACGGAATGGTAAAGTTACTTACTGTCAAAATATTACCGGTATAGAAAATAAATTAAGTAACAAAAAATATAAAATAAAATAATGTGTAGAGTAGGAACCGATTTAAAAATTATGCGATTCTAAACGACTCCAATCCATTCCCATTCGTTAAGCAAATAAGTTTTTGTATAAAATAGGCTTGTGGTCCTCTGGATGACATCTCACAGCCCAGGCGCCAAACTGCGTTTTTGCAAAAATTCGAGTGTGATCTAAAGACATTATAGAACTTTTTACACCACTTCTATTTTCACCAGAGGTGATGTAAACTTTTTTTTATTACATTAGTGTTTCGTTACTACGACAACAATCTTTAAAGTAGAATTTTATAATAAAACCACTGCTCAAAAGCGAGGTTTCAGCAGTAATCGTAATTTCGTAAACTGAGTACATTGAATAAAAATGTATTATTCTAGTAATTATGGTAGTAAATTCAATGATTAGTAAGTACGTAAGTAGACTAATTAAAAAATACGGTCCGTAATATTCTTCGTACTATATCTAATTCTATACGCAAACGTAAAAATTCTAATTATTAAAGGTTTTATTGAATATCTGTTTGAAAAATCAAAAGTATGCATTATGTATGTAATATATATAGTGCACCACACGTGACTAACAATTGGTCTAATGTTATTTCGACACAACTTACGTCTCCCCTGAAGTCCAGTACAACAGATGCTGCTTTTTTGAAAAATGATAAGATTTCAGTTTGCGAATTTTATTTTTTTATGACAACTCTTATAAGTTAAAATATAAATATGTATGTAATGTTAAAGTAACGGTAAAGAAGCGTATGTTTCAAGTGAGTTTTGCCATTACAAAATTTTGTAATGACGTCATCAACATTTTTGCAAGGATACATACATCATACTAATAATAACAGTACTGTAATCCCAAATTTACGGGTAAATGGCGTGAGTTGTTTTTGATTTAATCAATAAAATAAATTGCCTCGTTCAAAAATTTCAAAAAATATGAGTGCATTGATACAACACAACTATAGAGTTATAATCTAATATCACAGAGGATTTATTCAGTAAAAGTTTGAGATCACACGTCATCACTTTTTTAGGAGGGGATAAATGCATACATTTTTATTAACAATTTACCATGACTACAATAAGCTTAAAAAACAAAATTTTGAAAGTAGATACTCGGTTTTGCAGTTTCAAAGTTAAAGTGGAAAATGTTGTTATACAATTTTGATTTTTTTCCAAAAATTGGATGTGTAGGGTGAATACACAGACTTACCTATAGGTACACCGCAAATGCAGGAGTATCTTATTTTATGAAATTTAAATAACATTTCTGTACCTGCGAGCGCAAAGTGCGTAACTCCAAATTGTCAGTTTTCAGTGAGAGCAATTATTTGTGGCTCGTTTTACATACCAGACAAATTATTAGCTTATTCTAAATATATAATACAAAATATTGAATATAACAAATAAAAAAACTGTAAATACCTGAATTAGACAAAGAAGCGCCAACATTTTTTAGTAAAAAATACCCGTTTATCCAATTTTATGTAAAAATGGAGTTATGCACTTTGCGCTCTCAGGTCAGGCGCGGATCCAGGGGGAGGGGGGGCAATGGGTGCAATTGCCCCCCCCCTGACACACGACCGAGGTACTTTATTTTGACCAATTTCAAAATTTTGAAATCATATTTCATTTTGTAAATACAGTACAACCTCTGTAATCCGAACTCACGATTGTCTCAACATCCAACAATCCGGACAGAGGCTATTTGAAGTCGATGCCTCTTTAATCCGAACAAAAACTTTGCAATCCGACCTGAACTTGAAAACATGTATCTACTTCCAAAAATGACGCAAGATCTTTCTGCATATGTTGTATGGGATATTTTGAATTTTTTTAAAATTGCGATATTTCAAAGCACTGAATTAATTAACTAATTCTGGAAAAACGGATGAAGTTATCGGAGACCCAAAATCTACAAGAGAAAGTATTTGGTTAAATTTCGAAAATCGTCGAAAATGGGTCGAAATTTGCATGAGAAAAATTTAATTTTCGAAAAAATTTCCTAAAAATTCTGAAAAAATTCAGAGATATAATCCCGACGTGCTGATTCCAAAAATATACCATGTTTATGGTAACGGAGCAATATTTTCGGAAAATTCGCTGTGAAATTCGAATTTTTCGAAATTTTTAAAAATTGCGATATTTCAACGATTCTGGAAAAATGGTTTAAGTTATCGAAGAAATGAAGCCAGAAGTGACTTCTGAGGTCCAAAATCTACAAGAAAATATTTAGCTAAATTTCGAAAATCGTCGAGAACGGGTCGAAATTTGCATAATGGAGGTAATACGAATACATAAAATTTCATTTTTGAAAAATTCATCTAAAAATTCTGAAAAATTTCAGGGTATAGATCCCGGGGTGTTTATTCCAAAAGATAGCGTGTTTATGGTCACAGAGTAATATTTTTTTAGAATGTATCTATTATTATCCATTGTTGCTTAAGAATTCTTTAATTTTTGTTTAATAAAATTTTGGTTTATTTCTTGAAGTTTGTTTTCAGTTGTGTATGAAGTTGTTATTCAATTCCCTTTCAGATTTTTGGAAAAATTGCTGATCCGAACAAATCGTTAATCCGAACACACTTTTTTCCCAATTAATTAGGATTATTACTGTACACTATACGTGTAATGAAAAGAACTAAATGTCACCCATGTTATGTGAAAAAGAGTATACTAGCTAAAATTTTATAAATTTTTTTGTTTAAAACGAATTTCTGGTAGATAGGTAAAATTGCACAAAAAATGCCCCCCCCTGAACGAAATCCTGTATCCGCGCCTGTCTCAGGTACAGATTTATTATTGTAAATCTTGGAGATGAGGTCATTCCATTGGTGGTGGGATATTAGCAAAATTTGACACGTGATATTCCAAATTTACCTATCAAATCTTACAATAATTAATCGGTCGAGTAGTTTTGGAGATAATCTGTATAATAAAAATTGAAACATACGACAGACAACAGACAGACTGAAACGGGGGACCACATTTTTCGTACTCTAGGAGTCATGAAATGTCGAGAAAACGTGAATGTGGTCATTCGTCCGATGGACCGTTTTACAAAACTACCTTAGCTTACCCTGGAAAAGTATAAATAATATATCTTTTAAAAAAAGATACAGTAAAACTTCGATAAAGTTAACTCTTATTTGTCAGAAAAGATTGCGTTATTGCTAACTACATTTATCAAGGGTGTAAAGTTTTATGATGTAACAAGATTTGTTTTGACAATGTATGTTGAAGTAAAAATATGTATGTACGTTTATAAATACATATTAGTAAGATATTAAAGCATTTTTTTTATTTTCCGGCCACAGTTAACGTCCATTGAACATTTTAAAAATCCACTTTTTCTGATTTCAAGAGACCAAGCTACGACAAATATGACTTCTACCAATGAAAATACAAGTTGGTCGATGTCCATGCCACTACTGACTGATTAACTTTATACGTTCTCTTTGACTATATGCAAAACAACATTTTATTTTTTAACATGATTTTTTGTCAGTTGCTTGTTTACTTTGCTATCGTAAATATTAGAATTAAAGGTATTATCTGAAGTTATTTCCTCCATCATAAAATAAGAATATATGTAGCATATTTCTGTTTCGCAGTTTATTTTTCTCTTATTCTATAGTACATAACTACATAATGTACTTCGTAACTGTGAATATTGTTCATATTCATGTAGCCAAAGTAACACCAAATCTGTTCAAAACATATCATTTATGATAAAGTTAGTCTACAGCCTAGTACACAGTTTACTGCTAAAGATTTTTGGCGTCCAGTACAACTGAAATCCGATCCATATTATTAAATTTTGGAGCCGTTTTGAATATAGTAAAAAAATCGTTCTGTAAGATTGGTCAAAGTTTAATCTTTAATAATCTTTAATTTTTCAATTTAGTTTTATCTGGATAATGTCGACGTCGTTGGCAAAACGCGTCGACAACATGTTTGTGTTTTCGAAGTTTTGGACAATAAACGTTATTGCATATTCTTTGAAAACTCTTTTGATTATAAGTAGTAACAAGATAAGTAAACGGAGTCTGAGCAATAAGGTAAAACGAATCTTATTTATTTCCTGATTTTCTCAATATCAAATCAACTCCAGCAGGATTAATGAAGCTCTCTACTGGTGACTTGTTTTTATAAGGTTCATGATTTTGCTTTCGTGTTTCAAAACTGAAAACTAAAAATGGCACTTTTGTGTAGTCTTTGCAACATCAATGGCTTTTTAGCATACTTAAATATTAGTTACGAGTTTTTTTTCTAATTGTTAATAATTTGCGTTTTGACGGTACTAACCCTTTGCCAAACTGTGATATATGTATGTATTTAATTTTCAAAAATGATTGTTTATGAAGTAACATAAATACTAAAAGCTTCATAGATTTTCTAATCCCTTCTGATTTAATCATGATTATTTAACTGGATAGTTATCTAGGAGTATGGAAAAAATAAAATTCATTTCACTGTGTTGTATGATATTACTCTGATGTGTCCAAAATATAGGCCATCCTATTGAACAAATCGTCTACTTACTCCATATAACTGACATTTTGTACCTATTCAAAATTATTGTATTCGTTAATTTAATCAATAACATATTATAACACGTAATAGTAGTAACAAATTTTCCTCGTAATTGGTTTGTAATTGCTGGTTTGTTATATTAATATTCTAAGCTTTAAATTTCATTCGCACATTAATTTGTTTTAGTTTCAAACTTCGAGGTTACTGTTAAAGTTTCTACAACGGTAAAAATCTTGTACATTTTCTGTCCATTTTAATTTTTAATTTATAATTAGTCGAATAATTAGTACAAAGGATAATATTTATCACTGAAAATTTGATTTTACAGAAATATTAGAACATAAATCTTTACCAAAAGAATTCCGCAGAAATGCGGCATTGCTTGGTTTGTGCTTTGGTTATAGAAGTGGTTATATCGTTGCCTCTAAAAGTTTATTCCATAAACAGATTTATTTTATTTATTGCCTTACAAATACTTATTTTATCATTTTCCAAAAATTCTAAACAAATTGACGAAATTTTGAATTTGCACAGTAATATTATACAATAAAACGAGTGGTATTAAAACACCAATTAATGATTTTGTACTTTCTATTTCTTTATGCTTAAAATAAGGTTATAGGGGGTTACATGCAACTGTTGTGTAATAAATTAAAAACATTTTTTCCTTAGTAAGAAATGCTCCTGTTACTTAAGCATTATAGTGCTGTGTACATTTAAGTTTGTTCTCATTTATACCGTAAAACACTCGTAAGTAAACAATAATATTTAGTAAATTGGATGAAATGACGAGTCGGATTATAAAGCGGCGTCGTTTTAAGTGGGTTTGTTAGATTTACACTTCCAGTAATTAATTTAAAAACTATGTATTCCTTTGTCGGATCATTCTTTATTTATTTACACATTATTAACGATTTCGTCATTTATTATTTTTCTTTTCTTTGTCCTGCTCAAATACCGCTTGTAAATGTAATTTCATTTAAATAGTGAACCTAAGATAAAATGCAACAAACAAGAACATGTTTTACTTTAAAACCATTATTTATATTTAACAATTAAACTCAAAATAGTTTTATGAATACAAATTGCCAGTTAGCATATTATTCTTTCATGTACCTAATGTATAACGTCTTTATGTACGTTGTAAATGTAGTCGACAGTTTATGCAGCATACTCGTCAAACTAAATTGTAAATAATTTTGAGAGAATGTAGTCGATGCGAACATTGTGTATTAAACTAAATACATATTAAAACAAGCTGTATATAGCAAGGTACAATTAACAAAAAAAAAATAATAATTGAGGTGACGTTATCATATTGTTGGTGGGGATGATTAGACAAAGTTTGGTTAGCGTTATGCCATCTACACGATGCACATATAAAATTTCACAACAATCGCTCCGTCAGTTTCGAAGATTAGGTATCTGTTGAACAAATATCGACACAGACGGCGGACGGACCGACGGATGGACGGACAGGCCGACAGACAGAAACAACACGTTCACTATCACAAAAAACTTTCAGTTAATATTTCTTTTGCCCATGACGATGTTTAATTACCATTTCAGTTAGAATGTACAAAAATTTGGTTGCGTTATTTTTGTAATAATTTGATAAAATTCCATGTGTGACAACAATGTTTGTCTGATATAAAGCGAAGGTACAAATCAGCAAAAATCGAGCAAGCAGTTAAAAACATTTGACGTATCAAAAATTGTCAAAAAGTTTTCAGAACCCTACGTTTAAAATGTTCGCAGTTAATTTTAGGTCCCCTGGTGTGTTATTAACAAGTTTCAAGGAATCTGATGTTTTGTTGCTAGATGAACTTGAAAAAATCTTTTGAACTTTTAGTGTTTTATTTTTTATGAATTTGAAAGTTTTGAGTGCCGTAGTGCTGTTTTTTTAATTCGAGAGACTCTTGGGTACCCATGGTGTATAATTTTGGGAACCCATGGAGATTTTTTTTGTATATTATTTAAAACAATTTTAGGGGACTTTGATGTTTTGTTTTTGGAAAATTTTGGCCTGACTTGTTTTTCAGTTAATTTTGGGACTCCGTTTTTTTTTTTTGGAAATATTTAAAACAATCTTGAGGTTCCAGGTATTCCTGTTTGGAAAGAATGTTATAGTGCTTTCGAGCCTCTAATGTCTTTTTCTTATAATAATTCAATTAAATTTCATAGAGGATACGTCATTTGCTAAAATTAGCCTTATCTTAACAGGTACTAGACCCAGCCGACCGCCCTCTATTTTCTTAGAGGGTATGTCATTTGCCAAAATCGGTCTTATTTTAGCAGGTACTAGCCCCGCCCACCCGCCCTCTCTTTTCTTGTAGGGTATGTCATTTGCCAAAATCAGTCTTATCTTAGCAGGTACTAGCCCTGCCCAACCGCCCACCCACCCTCTCTTTTCTTGGAGGGTATGTCATTGCCAAAATCAGTTTTATCTTAGCAAGTAGTAATGACTAACTTTTACAAAACATGATAAAAATTTGGAAACATTACGAGCTTACTTATATGCACAAGGCAGGAATTTTGAACATCTCTAGTGTTTAGTTGGTTATGCTAATGGATTTTTCTTTTGTTGGTTTTGTTTCCGTTTGTAATTTATATATATTTTATTAATTGTTTTTTTTTGGTTTATTTATTAATGAAAAATAACAGCTTGTTTTATTAATAATAATGCACAACAATTGATGACTACTGACTGGTATGGTTTTTGTCCTAAACAAAGTAAAACGTGGATTTCAGTCACCATCGTTATTAAGAAATCAAAAAGTAAGCCGGAGGTATTGACGCATTAGGTACGTGCAGTGTTGCCAATTTTACTTTTATACTCGTAAAATTACGTTTTTTCGTAATCTACATCATAAAGACTTTTTTTATTATTTTTTTGGGACTTCCGAAATCCCCGTACATAACGTACTGAAGAGCTAATTTTCCAGACACCCGGTATTACAATACAAACATTTTAAAAAAGTTTCATCAAAATCGCATTTGTTTCTGAGAGTTATGGGGCTTTAACGCTTCATTGGCACGACTAATAAGCTAAAAAAGTATTGTGATAGGACGAATCGCCACAATAGTAAATATCTTTTAAATTTTATACATATAATAAGATACTCCTGCTCCTGTTATGTATGAATCCGTGTTGAGTTTTAACCCTAGAGACACAACAAAATTTTGTGATAACATCATCAACATTTTACAAGAACACGGGTGGCGTAAATTTAATCGAAAACTTTAGACAAAAAACAAATTTTTGGGGAAATGGGGTGAGTCGTTTTGGATTTGATGAATAAAATAGATTGCGTCATTCACAATTTTTTTAATCACCCTGTGTAAGTAATTTTAAAAACTATGCAGCTATAGAGTCACAATATTTTGCATATTTTAAATAGGATTTTTTGGGAAAAATTTTGCGATGGCGTCATCAATTTTTTGGGAGGAAATAAACGGATAAATTTTTATTAATGATTTACAGTATTTGTGATAACACTGATAACCTTAAAAAGTTGCAAGATTTCAAAGCATTCGGTTTAGTAGATTCAAAATAAAATTGTAAATTGTTGTTACATAAAATTTTGATTTTTTTCACAAATCTGGACGTCTAACGGAAAACGCAATACTGATTCATAAGCGACAAGTACAGGAGTATGTTATTCTATAAAATTTCAATAATACTTATTTACTATTGTAAATTTTGGAGATAACGTGATCTCACTGTTGGGGGAAATGATCAGACAAATTTTGGTTAACGTTTTACCATTTACAAGATATTCCCAACATTCATATAAGATCTGACAAGAATCGGTCCAGTAATTTCGGAGATGATCTGTGTAATAAAAATCGACAGAGTCGGCGGACAGACAGACATACAGACAGAAGTAAACGGGAGATCAATTTTTTTAGGGGTCATGAAACATTCAAAAAACATGAAAATAACCATTCGTCCAATGGACTCTATTACAATACTTCCTTGGCTTAAGCTGGTTGTTTTTTACTTCCCGAGCTTAAACTAATTAAATATTGTAACACTTAGCACAAATGGTTACTTCCGTGTTTTCCGAACTTGTCCTGACCCCTAGAATACAAAATAATAGGTCACCTGTTTCCGTCTGTCTATCTATCTATCTATCTGTCCACCGTGCATGTCGATTTTTATTAGACAGAAATGAAAGTTAAATGAAATAAAACACTGGGACAGTGTTGGAAATTAAATATCGATATTTCAGTTTTTTCAGATCAATGTATTTTATCGCTGCATCTTAATCTGTGTTTTAATCTATCCAGGATAGAGACCTGGATAAAAATTATTAATTTTATGTGCCTATAGTTAACAATTTATTAAAAAAAAAAAATCTTATGTAATTATGTGATGATACCATCTTACTAACAAAACAATAATGTTTTCAACAAAAAAAGTAAGATTGTGTTGTAAGTTGACACTAGTTTATAGATTTTTTTGTTACAATGGATTGAAATGAAACACCCTATGTCGCAGATGTCAATAATATTTAACATTTTGTAGAAAATAAATGTATACAACATAATAATAAGTAATAACAGTTGTTACGCACGATATGTATTTGCTGCAAATTATCGAATAAACACAATGTAATTTTATAGGAAGATATGTTCTTTCCAAATCATCATGATAATGGTGTAACTAAATATTAATAGACTCAACAACATAATAATTATTAAATAGTTTATTCTATCTGTGTCTAAAATCTTAGTGTCTCGAAAAAGAATCCGAGAGAATAACTTTAACCACGCGCATCTCATAAAGAGATAAGAAAAAGTTGAAATTTTAATTGACGTTTTCAGACAAGACATTTAAGGTAGGTATGTCTTGCGTGCATGATTGTATATATATGTTTATAGGTGCCAGACTTAACTATCAATGCAGGTGTTTCAAGATTAGTGACATTCGATGCAGATCAGCCAAATTAATTTCTCCTAATTAAAAAAAAATATTACTGAATAGTTTATTATTACCTTCTGGTAATATTTGTACTACTTGTTAGAACATCTGAATAGATATATGTACTAAGATATCTATCTGCGTGATGAGAAATACGCATTTAAGCAGTTAACATTTTATACAGTTCTCCTTCTCCTTCTCCTTCTCCTTCAACTATTTCATACGGCCTTGCGTAAAATACACTGACTGGAGGACAAGTATTCTTCGCCTCTTCATCAAAGTGTTGCTTCAAAAGAAGTGGATGGACCTTCGGTTTTTTAACCTTTTTTAAGGATTTCATGTTTTCACAATATTGTTGATACCAAATCTTTTCGTTTTCCGTTAGTTTACCGGAGCTACGAGACCCTAATTTTTTAAGAATTGTTTCCTTTCTTTGTTCGTATTGTTCAAATTCTTTAATCCATTTAGATTCCCCAAAGTCAACCCCAGAAGGAGTTTGGAAGCTCTTAGCAAAAATCACTCTTTCGAGTTCTTTCATATCGACAGATTCTTCTTCACTGGTTTTTTCAGCAATTTCTTCCTCTTCGTTTCCTTCTACGTTGTATTTTGGTTTACCTTTCCCTCTTTCACTGTCCAGCTCGGATGAAAACACGTGCTCTCTGGAAAGCAATGCACTTTCCTCCTCAGCTTTACCTAAAAAGTGTGTTTAGTCTTCAGATATTTTTTAAACTGATTTTGAACTAACCATACCAGAGGTCATCATAACAATCAATATATATTACATCCCCAACAGGTTTATTGTTGCTAAAATTGCATGTTAAACGACTTGAATTTGGAAATGAGTATGTTCCCGGACCGTCGTATTTGTATTTATGGATTATTCCACAGTATTCTTCTTTGTCCGGAAAAGTGATTTTAACGTTTTCAGCTTCATTTAGTTTATCATCCTTCCACTGACTTTCATACACTTGCCCATCATGGGTTGTATATACACCAGCACCTTGCCTCCAAGCCAATCCACTGACATGAGCAGAATAGTGTCCTTCGTATTTGTCTTGGTTGGGAAATACGAATTCCCATTCACCCTCTTTTAATGCTTCGCGTTGATTATTTTTGCTTTTCTTGCTTTTCTTAGTACTGCTACTTTTTTTACCTTTTGCCATTCCCGCTTCAAATTTTTAAAATTTGACGTTACTAACAGCGGCAATGTAACAAGCGCTATCTAACCACATTAAAAAAAATGTTTGCCACAGATAGAGAAACCTGTAAAGATGAATTAAATTTTTAATAGTTTAATGAATTTTTAAATGAGTTAACTAACAAGTGCATAAATCTTATAACTAAACAATTAGTGCTATGTTGATAATAAATACCTTAAATTTTAGAACTGGTTGCAAAATCTACAGTGCCATCTAGCGCTCATCGCATCATTTATTTTCCAATTGACGTATGACGTGTATTTGTATACATGTCAAAGAAATGTCGATAATTTAAATTTTATTTATTACCTTTTTATCTGTTTGTGCCATGGAATACTTCCGTAGTGGCTTAAAATCGGTTTTAGGCGCTCCAGCGCCTGGAACTCAACCTACAGGAGCTGAAACTGTGTGTTAATTTCATTAAAAATCCAAAACATCTGTTCTAACCTCAATTTTTAAGGTGGAGAGACTTGTTAGCAGAGTCAGTACATCAACATTGCTAGAAGATCGTAGAGATGCTTGCCGCGCCCTTAAAGCGTTATCGCGAAAGTACCGTCTTGAAGTGGGGGCACAAGGTATGGATGTATTACGACAAGTCCTAGAATTGGATCGATCAGACTGTGAAATAATTGGTTATTGCTTGGATACCTTGTGCAACATTACTTCTAAAGAAGTTTTTGAAGAGGAAAATGAGTCTAATATTAATATAAAAGTGAACGTCGGTGAACAGTTTACAGAGATGTTTATAAAAAATACTGAGAATGTTACTTTGGTTCTAAGTTTTCTCGAAGAGTATGATTTTCGAGTAAGGTGGCCCGCTGTTAAATTGTTGACTTCATTACTAGCTAGTAAGCCTAAAGAAATACAAGACATAATTTTAGTGAGCCCCATGGGGGTCTCGAAACTTATGGATTTGTTAGTAGAGAGTCGTGAGGTGATCAGAAATGATGCTCTTTTGTTGTTGATCAATTTGACTAAATCTAATGCCAACATTCAGAAAATCGTAGCATTTGAAAACGCGTTTGATCGTCTGTTTGATGTTATCAAAGAAGAGGGGTTTACTGATGGCGGCATAGTTGTTGAAGATTGCATGCTGTTGATGCTGAATTTATTGAAAAATAACACAAGCAACATAAATTTTTTCAAAGAAGGTTCGTATGTTCAGAAATTGGCACCAATGTTCATCCTCCCAGAAAATATTGAGGAAATTGGGTGGAGTCCCCAAAAGGTTTCAAATATGCACTGTGTTCTTCAGCTAGTCCGTACGTTGGTATCTCCAAATAATCCTGTTCAGATAGTAACTTCATGCCAAAAAACCATGAGAAATGCGAATTTATTGGAAGCTTTGTGCAATATTTTAATGGCTAGTGGGGTTCCTGTTGACATTTTAACAGAAACAATTAATACAGTAGGGGAAGTAATTCGTGGGAATTTGACAAACCAGGAGTATTTTGCGAACGTCATGGCACCTTCCAATCCTCCAAGACCAGCAATTGTGGTTTTACTGATGTCAATGGTAAATGAAAAACAACCATTTTCACTCAGATGCGCTGTTTTATATTGCTTTCAATGTTTTTTGTTTAAAAATGAAATTGGACAGGAGCAAGTGGTGCAGACTTTATTGCCCAGTTCTACAAATTCTACACTGACGACAGGCCAACTTCTATGTGGTGGTCTATTTAGCAGTGACTCGCTAAGTAACTGGTTTTCATCTGTTGCTCTTTCTCACACTTTGATAGAAAATCCTGCACAAAGAGAGCAGTTATTAAGAGTATTACTTTCAACAAATTTAGGCACCCAACCTGTTAGTTTACTTCATCAGTGTGCAGTATATTTGCAACAGACTTCAAAATTGCAAGCCAAAATCGGAATTTTAATGCTACTCGCCATGTGGATGAGTCACTGCCCTCAAGCTGTTCAAGTCTTTCTTAACGTTCCTGGAGCAATGGCATTTTTAACAGCGCAAACCAGTGCAAGTGAATATGATAACAATGAAGAAATATTACAAGGATTATGTGCCTTTCTTATGGGTTTATGTGTAGCTTTTAATGATAATTCGGTTCAGAATTATTCTAAAGAAAATTTGTCTCAATTAATTGAGAAGAGAGTGGGAACAGAGACCTATTGTAAAAAATTAGGAGAGATTTCCAGACATGAAGTTTATGCAAAAGCGGCAAAACAACCCCAAATCAGAGCCAAACATTCCAGTGAATTACTACTAGAATTTGAATTTTGTAAATTGTTCAAGGCTTTGGAACCAGTTATTATAAAGGCACTGGGTGTGCAGAGGGATTTATCAAATGGCATGTCAGAGCTTAGTTTGAGTGAACATGAAAATGCTTTACTGCTGCAGTATAAAGAATTGATTAGGGATCAAGATAAAAAATTGCAAGATTTGCAGAAGAACATTAATAACCTGCACAGGGAAAATCAGGATTTGAAGGTAATTAACTTTATATATAAATATTACATTAAAAAAATCGTGATCATTTTTGATGTTTTAATTTTAATTTTTTTATGTACCAGATGATTCAGTTAGGTATTCACACCCATTTATCTCTATAACTATCAACACAAAAACGTCATATTAATAAATGATTTAAAAACCATATCTACTCAGATGTATAAAAATTATTGCAACTACAAAGTTTTTCCGGTGACAATATATTTTTTTTTCTGTGGAGTAGCGTATTAGCAACTGTTTTTTGTCTTTACAGTGTTGTAAGTTTCAAATTTTCATATGAGGTTGAAATTGAAAAAAGCAGGTGGACGTGAAAGAGCATGAATTTTTTAATAATTTTCAAAGTATGTATAGCGAAATAATGCTAAAGATATTTTTATGAGGTTGATAAAGTCTTGGAAAAATTTGATAGAGATATTTGTATTAGTAGTTTTACAGGTGCTAATGTCAAAATGAATCACCTGATACGATTTGCCTAAAAAATCGGTGCATTAGTTTTTTCGATATGTCAATAAAAGAATGTGTTATTTTGAGGTAGTTTAAGGGGTAATACGTATTTGTTTACAGGCACAGATTGAGGAACTTCGCCAAACTAATTCACAACTTCATGATCAAAACACGCTATTGAAAGCACAGATGCAGTTATCCGCGGGTACAGCTCCACTAACTGAATCACCAGATAAAGTTAAACAGCTCGAAGCTGAATTACTTGACAAGGATGCAGAATTGGAGAGGATAAGAAAAGATCAAGATGATTTATTAGAATTATTGACAGATCAAGACACTAAATTAAATGCATTTAAGAATAGGCTAAAGGAGTTGGGTGAAACCATTGAAGATGCTGATTCTGAGGATAATAATTCGCTTGGTTCGGATAATGAAATGTAAATATTTAAACTGCACTTATTTATTAAGATATAAAAAGAATTGCATTGGTAGTATCATTTTTTATTTAATTGAATGGAAAACTAATAAACCCATTGTAATATAAAAATACAGTTTTTCACTGTTGTGCAATTCATCAACAAACGTCCTACTAACAAAAGTACGAGAAAGGTACTAGTATCTTTGTTTTATTCGTATCCAATAGTCTGATTACACAGTAGAACAGTGTTTTTGTTACATATATTTTCTAAACATGGTCAGAAAGGTAATTTTGTGCCTAATATACCCATGTCGTCAAAAAAAAAAATATTCAAATTTTTATTGTCGTCCAGTGAACAATTAGAAGAAATGAAGTGAATTTAATTTTACATAGAAAAACGCGCAAGAAGCACTAAAAAAATGTTCCACAGATTTCTGTCGACAGATATTTAATTACGTCTACGAATATTTAACCTACCTAGAATATGTTGAAGGATCTAACTCTTTATAAAAGCCTCATGTATTCGGAAAGAATGTGTACTTGGGTCTTTCTCTTAAATCTTTCTTCGACTTTCTTGATTTCTCGATGAAAAGATTATCAACAAAGAAATTTAAATGAGACATAATTTGTGGAACGTTTGTTTCCTAAAAATTCACTGATCACTAAGCTAATTGATTCCCAAGTAAATTTTTCCCTATCATTGTATTTGAATGATAGGGAAAAATGATATGGCCTGAAATTCGAATGAAAATTCCTAAATATAGAAAACGTAGATAATATGAAAACGGAAATTCACTGTAATATTTTAGTTTTTACCTTGGTTTATGTTAGCAACAGAAAGCTTAGGAAATACTGTTTTCAGATGTTGAAATGCTTTCTCTCTTGTATTTCACTTGCATAAGAAGCATATACCTATGCTTGGTATATCCAGATTGGAAGCCAGTTACTAAAGCTACAATTTTTAAATCGCCTATCAAATTGCACTAAAACTTTTTGTCGTTAATACAGTTTAACAAGTGTTGAATATTCTCATATGTTTCTGCAGTTTGTATGGAGTATGCAGTCGGCAGTACTAGATATTTATTCCTATTATGCAATAGTACACCTTTAACTGGAATTATCTGTGAACAATCTCAAAAAAAAAATTTTTTTGGCGACGTAGGCATAATGTCTTATTAGATAGTTATTCAGCACAAAATAACCTTTCAGAATACATTTTCAGAATGCTTGTAACGAGAAATTTTTCTAAAATTCTTCGACTGCCTTATTTGTGATAAATTGAGGTGTCGCAGTTCAAACTTAAATTTTGCGCCAAGAAAAAAAAAACGACGCTTCGAAACTGCACGAAGAACAAAATTTTGGTAATAGGTTCAATTACCACACCCATGAGTAAATTTACAATTTATTACTTGGTTTATGTTTTGTTGGAATCATTCATGCTTCCCAGCGTTTATACTAATAGAGAAATTTTGTCTTCCATTGGTGGTAAGTAATAAAGTGAGAATGGGATACAACATTACAATTTGGGAATCGAGCTCAGCTCTACCAACCTTGTAATAAATGGTGATTGTTATTAATTAGGTAATGTATCAAATAAAATAATAAATAGGTATATATAAATAAATAAAAAATAAAATAAATTTGCATTCTCGAATGTTTTTTTTTGCTCGCGATGCTCGCAGAAAAAAATTATTCTCGAATGGAAATGTAGCATTTCGCAATCTAGTTGCAAAAATAATAACTATTTCATGTTTTGATGAGACCATTGCTTACTATTTTTTAGTTTTTTGTAAAAAAAATATGTGTTAGCGTTTTCTAACAACGGCGAATTTTACGGCCATTTAGACGTAAAAAATAAATTAATAAAACTCATCCAAGAAGCGGAGCTAAATCTGAATTTCAACAGGGTACCCCTTTTTTCTATCTTGTTTGTGGAATTCTCGGAAAAGATTGGCATACACATAACACCTTTTTTGTATAAAAATTCATCGCAAACAGACAACAACGGCGATTATGAAATAAATAATGAAAACGTATATAATTCTATTGTTGTGGTAAAATTAAATATAAAAATAAGGAACACACTATACAAATATATTATAGCACGTAACAAAAAATTATCTGATCAGAACTTTTCTCGATAAATAGTTTTAATTTTTACATTCATTACTTATTTAACATTTATATTTAATAACAGATTGTGTGGTTTCTAAGATCAACTGCAAAATGTTAATGTTACTATTGTGTACACTATTTTTAATTCTTTTCCGAAAATTCATGTGCACAAAATCGGAAACAGAACTTGTATACTTAATCAGTTAATTGTTCACGTATTCAGTTTTTAAAGATTTTTTTCTGATCTACACCGTCTACGGAGAAGTAAACGATATCGGATTAAATGTAAAACTTGCTGAAATATTTGATATATTTTTCAGTTAAAGTTTTCTTGCAATCCTGACCTGACAGAGTGCCGAGTATTGTACTAAAGAACTGTGTTTTTTCAATCTCATTAAGTTATTGGTCATACTCATTACCATTAGAGACCCTAGATATACTTTGGAAAAGAGTTGTGACACGAAACGTCAAAATTAATGGTAAATTTTATTTTACTATGCTGGCTACGGATGCCTTTTTTGAGTCATGTTTTGACAGTTTGTAATTGTCATTTAGTACATAGACGTGGAAGAGAATAGTCGTCGTCTGTTGTGTACGAAACTGTAGAAATACAGAAGCAAATGGTTTCTCATTGTTTAAAGGCCCCGAAAACAAGATATTACTTAACAAATGGAAAGAAGAGATGCAATATCCATCTTGAAAAATTGGCAAAAGGGCTTACATTTGCGAGGTTGTTGTCCGAAATTGTATTTTCCATCTAATCCTTGGTCAACAGGTTCACTTCAAAAAAGAGAATTTTATATTTCAAGTGAATGCAAAATACCTATGTGAGAACGCAATTCCAACAATTTATAATGTGGCTGTATTTACCTCAAAATGACTTGGCAAAAAAAAAATGTTATTGATGAAGTTCAGCAGACTATTTTCTAAAAAGACAACTTCATCAAAAAACTGCAAATGAAAAAATGTTACAAGAAAAAATAACGCGGGGTGCTGAAGAAGAAATTAATGTTTTGAAAGCAAAAATTTCAAGTTTAGAAGGGCAAGTAATAAATTACAAAAATAAGGACGATGCATAAAACAGAACTATAAAAGGGATTCTCAACGAAAAGCAAATTCAAAATTGAAGTGTGAAATGTAAACTACCAAAACGCTGGAACAATAAAACAATAGAAGAAGCCATTAAAACAAAAATTTGTCTGTGGAACATCAGGACATAAGTATATCTTTTGAATATAAATTTTCCGATACCTTCAAAGTGGAACCCTATGCCGTAAAATTCAGCACATACCGTTTTTACCAGGAATTTTACATGAAATTTTTACCTATTTAACAATCAAAATTCAAAATTTTAACGATTAGGAAAGAGATTATTGTTTATTTTTAGGCGAAGCAGCAATCAATCCAGGTAAAGAATACTGTCGACGTTCCTCATTACTTTTGGGAAACAACATTAACAAATTTAAATGAAGTCGCTATCTATGTTTTGTTTTTTATGTTAGGAGGTGTAAGCTTACGATGGAAGCAAATCGTATGTTATCATTTTACTGGGAATTCCACACGCGGAGACACATTATCTAGAATTGCAAAAGAAATTAAAATCAAAAGTACAAAAACGCAGTTCCAAAATTCAATAGTTAACCCAAATAACAAAAGTAGGAATGTTGATTTTGCTGCTAACGCTCCACCTTTATCTAAAAATGTTCAATCCAACCTCATGTGTTCTTCGGCAATTTAATTAATTGTTTGTGGAACATTTCTTAATTATTTCGAGTTACAGAAATTCGATGACCATGCTTGTTTTTGTATTTTTTTTTCATTGTTATTTTAATTAAAAGATGTAACAAATTTTAACTTGTAAGTTTTATTTAATATAGAGGTACATGAATCTATATATTTCTACTGAGATTTTTCTACATATCAGAGCAAATATTCATGATGGAAATGTGAGGACGTTGTAAAAACACTGTTTATCATAGAGTAGTAGATAGAGAACCTACTAAACATGCTTCAAATTTCTTACCACGGTGCCGTTCGTTAAATTACAAAATGTTGTTTTGACCAGAAGCAAAACGATTAGATACTGACAATGTGATACACTCTCCAAATCTTAGCTGGGAACAACGATAGTACCTAAGTACAGAATGGTGTTTAAACTTAACTGCAAATTGTGATATAAGTAATCTTATAAAGATTACCTAATCAGTATGATTAGGTATTCCGCATTTTTCTGTTTTACCAGCGATGCCGGTTGCAAATTGTAAGAAGTACTTAACCGCATAACACTTCTTCTTAAATATAAGGTACTGTCAGTGTCAGTACTGTTAACAAAATTTCAAAGAAACTATTTGGAGCACTACGCCACTGCTTGAAAATGTAACTTAACCTATAAATTTCTTTTGAAGTTTCTGAAACTAAATCACTAAATTAGATAAAGACAGCAATCACTATAGCTATTTCATAACTGACCGTCATGTAATAAAGATAGAGACAGAAAATGTCCGTGTCACAACTCTTTTCCAAAGTATATCTAGGGTCTCTAATTACCATTGTTTCTGTTATTTAAGAATTCATTATCTGTAGGCAAATTTCCAACAATTTGCAAAAACAACCATGTCTTCTTCATTTCAGGCGATCGGAGTAAAATTGATAATTATTATAGGGGCAGGTGTAATGAATCAGTGATACGAAAAATATTAAATTTTACTGTTGCCAAACAATTACAGTGGATTTCTTCGTCTGTTGTTTCTGAAAAACAGAATGGTTTTTATAAGAACAGATAATTTGATGAATTACTACTGTCATCCGAATGAAGCTTTCCCTCAAAATCTCAAAAACTAAAAATTGATTCACTTTACACAGATTTCTCGAAGCTATTCTACAAAGTCAACCGTAAGTTACTTATTTTTAAGATGAGTTTCAGTAAATTGTTTCAGCGGCTAGACTATCAATTCGTTA